GGGTGTGGGTGTGGGTGTGGGTGTGGGTGTGGGTGGGGGTGGGGGGGTGTGAGTGTGGGTGTGGATGTGGGTGTGGGGTGTGGGTGTGGGTGTGGGTGTGGGTGTGGGAATGTTGAGGGTGCGGATGTGGGGTGTGGGTGGTTGGATTCGGTTGTAGAGCATGCCTGTGTATCTCCTAACCCTTAAATCATCGAAATTCTAGCCACAGCTCACACGCACACGCACACGCACACCCACACCCTTAGGTATTCATCAGAAATTGTTAAATCGGATTTATTATTTGTGAGGACATGCAAGTGAATGTTCGCGTGGGGTTGATAACTGAAGTAAAATAAGTTGTATGTGATGGTGAATAATTTGAAAACTTACTCTGTAGAATCCTCATCGAATTTGAAAGACAAGTATATCACAAAACCAGCAGCACTGCCTTCCAAGGCTCTCCCCGTCGAGAAGGATATATTGTCTAAACGATCGTCGCCTGTGACAAAAGCAAAGTGATGACAAACCGCTTGCTCGAGTGCCAAAGCATATTGCTCTTTGTCGAAATTGGAGCTTGCGTTCGCCGGTATCGAATTCAAGCAAGCGAGAACTACAAGACCGTCATAGTCCTTTTCATTTTTATACATGCTCCATCGATTTATTATTCCCTGTAAGAAAGTGGATACAATTAAAATCGTGAAAATAATAATGGTGCATCAAGGACTCAATTTTGTTTACACCTACAGTTTTTTTCCAAGTGTTATGATCTCGAACATCGAACTGCCGCCTTTTCATAGTACGGACGTAAGTTTTACCAATGGTGAAGCTTGAAATTTGATGACCTTCTTCTTCCAATCGTAGCAGAATGCGCTCTGCATGTTCGATCAATTGGCTGGAAGCGCGCTGAAATGTGTCCTCCAAACCTATGGCCTGGTCACAGGCATAATTTTTTTCCAAACCCTTCGATAATGATTCTACGGTGGTACCTCCGCGTGTGCTCGTTGAGGTAGACATGCTGCTTCAAATAAAAAAAGACAAGTTTTCACCCTAACATCCTGACGCTTTAAGTTGACATAGCGCTGCAACCACTATACTCTTTACCGACATCTCTTATGTTTGCAACCGACCCAAATAGGTTTCTGATTGTTCAGAAACCAAAATAAGAATCCAGACCACCTAAACGCTTCCAGATTGATCATGCAAACCCTCCGAAAGTTTTTCGAAGCTGAAAATGGGTTTTGAAAATTCGGAAATCTCTAAACGGGTTCCATAGTGACAAAATCCGAAACGCCGAAGGACTGCCAGAAAATACTCATGGCGGTCCCGGATTTTCGTGAACGGATCAATTTTTAACGAATACTTTTAGCGTTTCCAATTTTGTCACTATATGAAACTCTTTTAAAATATCCCAAGACTGATCCAGAAACGTAATTAGCTTGTGCGGACACCTATGTATGTTTCCCAACCCTGAGAAACCTGTTTTCGTCGACCTCCCAGTAAACAGACTTCTTTAGAGTGTACTATAAAGCAAAAGCATTTATATCAAATGTTACTCACATTAATCATTTCGCATTACACATAAAAATCTCATCAGAAAAACTACACAGATGATCAAATAATATAACCACAGTAGACGACTACTGGAGGGTGTGGGTGTGGTTGTGGATGTGGGTGTGGGTGTGGGTGTGGGTGTGGGTGTGGGTGTGGGTGTGGGTCC